TTATTACATCTCTATTCATCCTCTCTTCTTTCCCTATCTTGCCTTTCAGTGGAACAATGTAACCTACCACTTTACAACTCCCTGCTTTGGAATCTCATCTGCTTGTTGGATTTTCACAACTATCATGCAAAAAGTAATGGCGAAAGTTCGTGTCCGAAAGGTTCACGTAGCTTCTTATATCGACGACGCTCTTGGACATAAGGATTTCCCAACCCTTATTTGACAAACATTTAATTAATATGTGACCCTCCTTCATAATCTTGATTTTTTTCTTAGCCTGCATAAATGCTCATTTCTTTCTTCTCAATGCATCCGCTTCCTTAGTTTTAATATTGATGCTCACACCAAGCGTATCAAGGTACCGCAAGACAAGGTTTCAAACCTCTTGAAACTCTTACTCAACATTAACTCTCAAACTCTAGCAGATTTATCGCAAAACTTGAAGGAAAGCTCATTGCACTAAAACATTTTTGTCCACCCATCTTTACCTATCTTCGCTTTATGAAATCATCTCACCAGCTAATTGGGATTCCCCAGTGACCGTCTCCTCGAACCTCATTAATGACCTTCCTTGGTGGATTCATCACTTACCGCAGCTCTCGGAAAAACTTTGGACTGTACGTCCTCCAACCCTTACAATTTTCACTGACGCATCTGCCCTCCAAATTGCCGCAATTATTTATCCCATCAACAACAAACCCCTCTCACTCAACCAATGTCTTCCCCTTCATCTCCTTACTATTCCACTCACAGTGAACTATTTGCAATCCTTGAAACATTTCTCTTCTTAGCATTTTCGCAACCTCAGATCCCCTCATCAGCCTCTATAAGACTTCACTCAGATAGCTAAGTTGCATCCGCTTTACTCATGAAGATGAAATCCACAGATCAATCTTTCAATCCCTAATTAAGAAGTATAGCTTCCTTCCTCATTTCCTTTGATGCAATCCTCCATCCAATATGGATCCCCATGTATCTCAACAAATCCGCTGACTCCTTATCTAAAACCGAAGACAATTCTGACTGGGGTCTTGCCAACCACATCAAGAAGGACATCTTTTCTGAAATAGGTTCACCTGCCATTGACCTCTTCGCTTCGGACTACCACCATGTTTGCTCTACTTTCATCTCAAGAGACTGGTCAGTCAAGGCCTCCCTAATAGATGCTCTCTCTCTTGATTGAAACTCCATACCCTCTCATCCGTACAGATACATATTCCCTCTTGCTGTCCTACTTAATCAAGTACTCAAAAAAATCATTAAACCACAGGTCCCCCCGCCACCGAAAACCCCTGGTACCGGTGAGTTAGGGCCGGGTTGTACGGAGGGGCGGCGACCGTACTGAGGCGCCGGGTTGTGTGGAGGCTGACGGGTCCAAATCCCGCCATTTTCCAAGCGACAACTTTACCGATTTTTCGTGCTCAGAGTAATTCACCAAAATGTATGAAAATTTGAGGGTTCGTAAATTAGGTCGTGATCTTTCACGGAAAAATATCAGGAAAAAAAAAAAATCATTTTGACGGTGAAACAATTGCCGCGCCGATTCGATTTATTTCAATTTTTTGTCGCAAAATTTTGTACGGAGGCCCGCCCGGTTTTCCACGCTGTACTACCGGTAGCCGTCGCGAAACGGCGGTACCGGTACCTCGAGGTTTTTTTCGTGAGGGGGACCTGTGGTTTAAAAGTCATGCCCCCTATCTTCTCATCCTTCCTTCATCTCAAAGAACTGTTTGGTACCCCCGCGTCCTCGATCTCAACATCATCAATCGCTTCATCATCCCCGCTTCCACTTTCTCCTGCCTTTCCAGCCCCCGAGTCAGTCCCCTCGTACCCAATCTTGCAATCTTTGGTTTGACGACAATGTTCATCCTCCCTTGATCGCTCCTCACCTCTCCGTTTCCAACCGCGCCTCATCCCGTAGCGATATCGCATGAATGTTCCTAACTGATTCCAAGTACCTTGCCGCATCATCTCCCCTAAGCTCCAACCTTCCTCAATCCCCGTTTGCACCTCACCTATCTGGAAACTATGACCATTGTCGCCTTCAAACACTCCTGCTTCTCCAAACCACTTTTCTATCCGCTTATTGAAACCTCCCCCACTCATTGGCCCGCTCCCTTGCACAGGCCGGAATAGATAACCATTCTGCAAGTCTTGTCCCACTCGTTCATAACTTTCAAGCATCCCAGGTAACCATCCCAAAAATGTCTCCTCCTCACTTCTTGGATCCCGTAACCTTATCATAAACCTTCCTCCATGACGATCTGTCTTAGTATACCCAGGATGCACCATCCCTCGCTCAAAGTCAAACTCCTTGTATCGTTGCCAACTTTCCCACAAATATAAAAAAGCCCCCCCATCATGATACGCCTGAGCCTCAGAATACCCTTTCATAACCTTCACCTTTTCTCTTATATAACTTATCACCACCCGCAGCTTCTCCAATTGCATTGGTTTCATGGATTCTTCTATTACACGCCTCCACAGTGTATACTCTCGATAAGACTTTACTACTCCGGCAAGGATCATCCTCTCCATCCTTACCCAGCAGGCGAAAGCATCCACTCAAGCAGTTCACAACAACATCGCCCTTTGCTGGTGAAACCATCGGAAACCCTTCAGCATCGGAAGTTCGGCATCGACTTTCAATTTCAACAAGCCATTGGTTACTTATGAAGGACAACACATCAAGGTCGGAGCAAGTCATGCAACTTCTCCCAACTTCATTACGATCAAGCCACTCATTCAAAGCAAGAAGTATCTTCTTCATTCCATTCTTCCATCGCTTTCCAGCTCCAAATTCACTGATTATTGCACTACTTCACTCAAGACCAGCAGAGTACTTTCCTTTAACCATGGGAGTCGCTCGCTTCTGCCTCCAACTGCCATCGCTCATTTGCTCGTTCCACCATTCCCTGCAAGACGACAGAGTCGCTTGCGGAACGATGGAGGGATCTGGGATGGTTTAGGAGGTGTGCGGGTCTGCGACCCACCTGCTTGACTCAGTCCTATGAGATCTGACATCATCTTCGGCCTCTTCTTTTCTTAGTTTATTTGGAAAGGTCCTGGGTAGCATTATGCCTAAGTTAACAAACCCCATTGAAATCAGTTTCAACAACCGAGCTTTCCTCCGACCGGTTATCGTCGGTCGCTTTGTCAGATGGTACTGGTACCAGACGGTTGAAACTGGAACTCCTATCGCAACCATCCACCAACAGCATCTACGAACCTGGTGGGAAACACTTTCAAGCATCAACAAGTTTTCAGACATCCACGACAGACAAAATAACTACCTAAATTGACGGAGGATTGCTACCAGGGATCAAACGGATGATGTGACACTCACCCAGGCTGAAGAACTGCCTCGCCAGCCCAACTGGTACCACTGCCTTGCCTGGCGATGGTATAAGTCACAGGGGCCTGGCCTGTGACGACAACTTGCGAAGTCTCCTGAGCAGCGCCCTCCAGTCCGCGCCCGCTCGCAGCACTCATCGCATACGCAAACCTGGGCGGGAGTACAAGGGTCAGGTCCTGCGGAGTTTGAGTCGTTTTCCTCGCCTTTTGGCGAATCTGACCCGCCCACCCTCGATTTTCCCATGGTGTGCGGGCCTGCGGCCCACCTGCTTGACTCACTCCTATGAGATCTGGCATCATCTTCGGCCTCTTCTTTTCTTAATTTATTTGGAAAGGTACTGGCCGAGGTCCCAAAGAGGATAGGATCAAGCTCATGAATCTGGATGTGTTTTATGCAGAGGTGCAGAAAAGCAGTTCAATCTCGATTTCCTGCACCTCTCCACAATTGTGTCCAGGTTCAGTCATTCTATCTGATCGTCTTTGCTAGTGGGACCACGCCCCTGGATACTATTTTTGGGGGATTTTGGCGGATTATGCGGATTTGGTACTGCAGTGTGAGCATGCCCTGAGTATGCCCTCAGTCGGATATATTTAAAAAAAAGAAAAGAAAAGAAAAGGAAGTTTCACGGGCTAAAGAAAAAGGTATAAAAAAGGAAAAAGGAGCAAAAGAGAAGGGAGTTCCAACCCAGCCATGTGGCTGAATGATATGCGCATACAGCCAGTTAGGGCCTCGCCACACCACTGTCGAAACGAAAAAAGAACGAGTGCATCTTCACGCAAAGAGTGGAAAATTGCATCCATTACTCTAAATAGCGAAGGATGTATCTTACCTCTTTCTGAGGACGATGCATTCGGTCTTCTCTCGCTTCGACAGTGGTGTGGCGAGCTCGAACTCTCCAAGGGAATCGGACAACCACGAAAGTTATGGCCAATTTTTCACCCCCGGGAAAAAACCCCCCCCGCAAGTTATGGGCAACGCGTCCCGTTCCCGCGCAAAAAAGGCGGGCAAACGACGTGGCACTCAGGCCCCTGGCTACGGCGGTTCAGGGCAGCAGCGGGGGTTGAGCCCCCGCGAACCGGGGGCGAGGTCCCACTTAGCAAAAAGGATAGGATCGAGCTCCTGAATCTGGATGGGTTCTAGGCACAGATACAGAAATGCAGTTTAATCTCGATTTCCTGCACATCTCCATAAACTCGTCCAGATTCCGGCATTCGATCCAATCCTCTTTGCTATTGCTAGTGGGACCACGCCTCGGAGCATTCTTCAAACTTCCCACCGTAGATCACGATTATCGGCGCAACCCCGGGGCAAGGTCCCACTTGCACGGGTTAGGAGATTTGGGCCGTTGATCTTCGCTATCGACGGTCAGTATCGCATAATTGGTGCAAGTGGGACCTACTGTAGCCCCCGCGAACCGGAGCGCTCTTCAAACTTCCGACCGTAGATCACGAATCATCGTTATCGGCGGTCTGGAACGAAAAGTCTGAATCTGTGCGCAGCAGCGGGCTCCTCGGCCCGCCGGGGGCAAACTGGCGGGGGCGGGAAGCCGGATGGCAGAGAGAAGGGTGGTGAAGGAGTGGAGCTTTGGCAGGCTTTGCTCGATTTGGTCGATGTGCTCGATTTGCAAGCGCGCCGTTACGCGGAGCCCGCCTACCGACCGACCGACCGACCGACCGACCGACCATGGGGCAGGCAAATCGAGCAAGCAGTGTCACAACTGAGAGCAAGCGGTGTCACAACAACCCAAAACCAACAGCACGTGCGGTTTAGCTCCCACCTGCCCTCGGTGGTTCTGTCATAACATAATAGGGAAGTCGAGGGGCACACTGGCAGTTTCTGGGGCGATTTGTTATAGGGATGTGAGGAGGCGCCTTGTTGGTTGAATTTCCTGTTCGGGTAACTATGCGCAGCAGCGTGGACCGTACGCGGTACGCCTCTCTGTCTTCTGGGGTCTCACGGAGGAGGTTTCGTTCTTGATTGTATATCGCTGAATCCTTCATCAGACATTCGTCAGCAATTGGTTCCTCCTGCCACCGATTTGGCCCCGAGGAGAAAGCAGCGGAGTCTTCAAGTCCAAGTCGCTTCAGTCGCCCACCCCACTACGAGCACTTCCCAGGAAAACAGGACAAACAGAACGGCCGAAGCGATCGGCCAAATCGACCATTTTTGCTTGCTTGCTTGGCTGTATGTCTGTCTGTATGTCTGTCTGTCTGTTCTATCTGCCTGCCTGATTGCCTGCCTGGCTTCCTGCCTGGCTGCCTGCCTGGCATCCTGCCTGGCTGCCTGCCTGTCTCTGTCTATCTGTTTGCCTGTATATCTGTCTGTCTGTGTCTGCGCGCTCCTCAATCTGTCCCTCTCCGACTCACACTGCTGATTGATCACCGCTATCAGTGGCCCGGAAGCCGGGATATACTTTGCATTCGTCGATTGGCCTCCTCCTCCTCCTCCTCCTCCTCCTCCTCCTCCTGCTGCTCCTCCTCCTCCTTGACGTTTTTTGTCTTCCTCCTCCGTTGTTCCCCTCTTGATGTACATTGTGCACTGATCAATCATCCTTGCCTTCCATCTTTATCGTCGACATTGTCATCGCGATCATCGGGATCTTCGATGGCCGGGATCTGTACTCCTCCTTTGAAGGCGAGCGTGCACCTGCGGTGCTGCCGAGCAAGACTAGTATCTGCGAATCGGTGCTTACTTTGAGAGAGAGAGAGAGAGAGAGAGAGAGAGAGAGAGAGAGAGAGAGAGAGAGAGAGAGAGAGAGAGAGAGAGAGAGAGAGAGAGAGAGAGAGAGAGAGAGAAGGGGTGGTGGTGGTGGTGAAGGAAGAGGTGTTTCCTCCCTTTTCTCTCTTTTTCTCGGTCCTGCGGTTCTTGGGAGTGCAACTCTTTTCCCCCGACATTCGCCGCTATCACAAGGCAGGGAGAGTTCCATCCACGACCTGCAGCCGACCAAATTTTCAGTCATTTTCAGAAGCGATCGATCGACAACGGTGCCCGTGGCGCGGGTTACTAATTAGCTATTAAGGTCTTTTGGCATCGCCTGTTTCCGTCATCATTGACATCGTCTAGACTGAGACAACGGGAACGCGAAAATGAACCAGGTTCGTCCCTCTTCTCCTTCTCTTTTGGGCCTTCCATTTCCATCTTTGTGGACCCCCTCCCCCCCTCCATTTTACTCTCCTCTTCCTCCTCCTTGTGCTGCATCTCTCTTTTCCTCTCCCTCTCGTCTCTCTCCTGCAGCGGATCAACTCGCTGTCATTGTTTCACTCCTCTTTTTTCTCCATTATCGTTGTGTGTTTGGTCTCTGAGACTCACATCTTCATTTAAGTACCCTTGTAGCGAATTGCACCACTGCACCACCTCCCTCGTC